CTTGCCGTTCGTGGCACGAGACAGCACGGCGCATCTGCTCACTACAAAACTCTGGCAAGCATGTGGTTTCCGAGAAGGGCGAGATCACAAGCAGCAGTGTATCCTTTAAATTGTCGGCTTCTCTGAGTATGCGTCCCCAGCGGCGATGATGACTAGACTATGCTGGCAAAACTGAGTTTGCTTGTAGCACTATCAACATGGATATCATCGTGCGGGCATGGTTTCCTTGGCCACACGCACCTTCTCACAGAGATTTGACTACCGAACACCAAAAACACCGCCTCAGCAGGGAAGGCGCCTCAGAACAATGGCTGGAATGGATGCTTCGGTACATGGATTCTCGGAACTAACCCCTCCCCCCTACCCTTCCGAAATACCGAACATGAGCAAAAGTGCACGAAAGGAGACACGGGCAGGAACGCGCGCAGTCAGTTTTGCTTCTCGGAGTGTGCATGCCAGCACCCTGTGTCAAGATTTTCTGTGAAATTTTACGACGTCGTAAGACGTCGTATCTTACCCGAATGACTAACATGTCAGTCAGTATGAGATCGGCAGAGACTACAGGAATGAACCGAGTGCGATATCAACATTGCTTTTCTGCTTAAGACATGCATGAGAGGCCCTTTCTTTCATGGCTAGTTTATTTGCATCGCTAAGAGTATCAAAGCTCTCGTCTAATGTTTACTTCTGATTCAAAAAGTCCCTCCTTCCCTATCAAAGCACGTTTTGGCATTGCCAGTAAGAAAAGGCAGAAAATGCAACAGTCTTCTTCAGGCATGGGGAGGGCTCTTTCCAAAACACGACATTGGTGAAGCGGGGGGGGGGGGGGGGGGGGGGGGGGGGGGTTGCGACATGAAGAAACGGTTCTTGCACACGCTTTCTTTCACATAATAAGTCCTTGTTTGCGTGAAGACTGGTAAAAAAGCTTCTTCCGTTTGCCGAATATCGGACGAGATTCTTCATCTCTTATTTGACACTCTGTTTTTTTCCAGTACAACTATCTCGAAATCTTTTTAAATACTGTAGGAAGACATGAAGAGGTTGATCTTTAATGTTGGAAAACAGTTGCAAGAAAGCCCTTCTGACCAGCTTTGGCTTGTCGCAAATGGACTCAGGCTGCTGGCTGGCCCGCGACACTGCAGGAGCTAAGACTGGACCTGAATGGGTGCTCAAAGATTGGCGATTCTGGTTTGGCGGCGGTGGGCGCCTGTTTGCCAAGTGGGCTTCGAAACTTGAAGGAAGCTGTGTGCAAGACAAAAAACCATCATGCTCGAGTGCTGCTGCATGGAGATCTAAGCTGTCGAGAGCTACCAGTGGCTAATGAATGGTTTTCTGCCTGCAGGTAATTCTGGGGGGACGCCAATCCTTGACAGATTCTGGGCTAGCTGCCGTATTCAGCAAGCTGCCGACTGACCTACAGGAGGTTGAGCTTGTGCTGGTGCATTCTGACTGGTAACTTGATTGCAATCGTATTGCGTAGACAGCAATGCCCTCGCGCGCATGTTTCCTTGTTGCTTTCTGTGCCAAGCATGCATTGACAAGCCTGGCAACTTGAACGCCTTCAGGTTGACAGATGCTGGTCTTGCAGCAGTCATTGCGGGGCTGCCTCCTTCCTTACAGCAGTCCAGCTTCAAACTGCACTTGTGCCCGCGATTGTCCTACCCAGCAAGGTGGGCTGGCTGGGAGGGCATCCATGACGTCTTTTCTTCAGTTGATGCGCTAGGAATGTGGCAGAGAAGCCGCCCGACGAAATGCGAACGTGGCTGCAGGCTCCTCTACCTGGTTTCATGGCGATATCCTCGAGATTCTAGATATTAGCCACTAGAACAGGCCTTGACCCAGCCGGTGTGTCCTGGCAGGCTTGCCAAGTGGTGCCTGCCTGCCCTGCAGATTGCGACCGCGCACTTTTTGACCAAGCCAGCTTATTCAAGGATTGCCTGGCCGAGGAAGAGAAGCTAGGTGGAATCTGAAGGACAAAGTGATTCTGAAGTGCAGTGCATCCTGAAGCAGTGTGCTGTTGAGTGTCAGTCGGTGACCCCTCGTCAAGGAACACGTGTCCGGGTCATTCATGGTCAAGGGTTAGGGTTGAGCCGCTCTGCCCACACAATCAGGCAGCAGCACAGCTGGTGCCTCACGTCAATCTCTGGGGTGGGTGCCCAGACAGTCTGTTTAACAGTCGTTTTCGACCACACCTAGCGTGAGCAACCGTTACCAAGCACCCTTCATCCGAATTTGTGCCAGGCAGGTTCCCGACTGTCACGGCAGCGTAGGCTGTAACGATTCGAGCTCAAGCACCATCTTACCTAGGAAATGCGAGACGTAAGAAGCAATGGGCATTCACACATATTCTCGCCTGAAGCGCGCGTTCAGTCCAAACTCTCGCCTCCAGTGCGGTTGAGATCCGCCGGTTCCACGGTCCCGTCGTGCCCGTAAGTCTTTTGGAGGAAGCCTTGCCTGCAAAGTCGAAGCCAACCGGTGCGGATCGTGGATAATTCAATTCGATGTAAAGTTTCTCTACCAGTGATTCCAGCGTTGGAGAAGTTTCGCCATAGAAACTCAGAGAGACTCGGAAGGGCAGAAGTCGACGAAGAAGACATGAACATTATTGAATGAGGACGTGGAGTGACAGAGAGGATGCTAAGATTCGGGATGGGGGCTCCCACCAGCTTTCCTAAGGAGCACTGCCATGAACCCGGAGGATGGATGTAGCCTTGCGCTGCCAATTATCACACAAGACCAGCCGCCTAGCCGAAGACCGGTGAGGAAGGGGTGAAGCAGTGAAAGGAGGTTTGAAGTACCCAAAAAGGCCGGGCGAGAGCACGCGGTAGCTTCATGGCGCTTGCCCAGGTTGGGGATCGTTTTGCCCTTATTGATCTCGGGCTTGAGCCAAGCACCAAGATTGCGGGGGTTGCAGCTTGACTTCCAGGACACGGCTTGGTGGCACAATTTAGGCAAAGGGCACTTGAGGGTTGTCCATGTGGGTGATGTACCCTGCCAGGATTGCCCAGAAGCATTTGGAGACAAGGAGCTGGCAAGCGTGGCCAGCGCTCTGCCATCTGGATTGACTACACTAAACCTGTGCCTGCACCTAGGCTTGAGCTTAAACGACAAGTTTAACCTATTAAGGCTTTACAAGGCTTGTTGTGCCGCATGATGGAAGGGCACATGGCGTACAAGTCCCAGGTAGAGTTGGAGCGAATGTTCCATGTTGGTGCAGTGCGGTGCACTTTGTAGGTGGGGCCTCAGTCAAATCTCTGCGGTCGGTACTGGCGCCTTGTCGTCTGGTCTTCCTGGAGAGCTTCGTGACTTCACTCTCATGCTAGGCGGTGCATCACGCAGAGCACAAGCATCGAAGACTGTAGAAGACAGTAGATCGGGCAGCTGTGCAAGCACATCAAGTCCCTGCAGGTGGCCACTATTCTGACATTGCCTCAGCTTTGGCTGCACTTGTTTTGCGTCGGACCTCGCTGACGAAGCTGACGATCTATGCTGGCAGCCTGGCAAGCCTTTGCAGCAGATTGTAAGACTTCGTTGCTCGTCGGTCGCTGTCGTTCGCTGCGCCTGCACTCAGGCCTGCTCAGCGACACAGCATTAGCAACCTTCGTGTTCAATTTGCCTGCCTCCCTTGAGCACTTGGAGCTCACACTCCTAGAAAGCCGGAGCCTCAACTATCCTCAACTGCCTACAGCCCAGCACCCATGCATCTTAAAGTGGTATCACCCAGTGTGCGGTTCTTGTCATTCCTGTCCTTGAGATCCTCCGAGGCCATTGGCTGTCGGACGCCGGCTTGGCTGCATTGGCTGCATATCTGCCAGACGCAGCAGAGCTGAAGCTGGAGTTGGGCAGACATACGGATCTGTCACGTGCTGCGCAAGAAGCGCTCTGGCGGCAAATGTGATCTCACAGCGCTACGAAGGTTCCGAAATACAGCTGTTTAGTTTTCACATGCTGCCACCATGCCTTCGCATCTCTCTAGCAGGCGTTGGGCTTGAGTGGAATTTGACCTGGGACATGCACGTGCGCATGCACATAAGCACCGCGGACCCACGTACGACGCAGCCACACGCTCGCACGTGCACCCATGCGAGACTCACCTGTTGTATACACCGGCACAGTCGCACGCGCGCAGACGTGCACATGTGCAGACGCACGCATGCGCAGACGCGCATGTCGACTATCAGATGTTCTGCGGTTCACTCGGATGCTCCGAATTGAAATGTTCTTGGCCTTGGTGGGTATTTTGCAACAGTTGGATGCTCATTGGGATGCTATGTGATGCTGTGGCTGTGATCTGGACGAAACGTTAACTCTGATGCTTTGGCCCTGCTGGGATGCTCAGATGCCCTTGCAGATGCTTTGGTTCAGGCCGGTGCTTGGGCTTGTACTCTAGGTGGGGCTCTTTCTCACCTTGGTGTGGTGCTCACTCTGTAGAGCACTTGGTCATGTCGAAGCTGACTCGGATGCTCCGTGGTTGCCGCAGTGTGTGGATCGGGGTTGGTTGATCCTGTGGTTGATTGTATGAAATCAGTTATTTCTTCTGGCATTTGGCCCTTTAGCACATGTCCCACCAGCTTTTGCGTCCCTCCCTTGCCCCCATGTGCTGTCTTTGAGGCTGAGCATGCACCTCAACCTCCCCTCCACCAAGGTGGCCAAAGCGGCAACCCGAAACTCTTTGAGAGCTTGGCTGGAGTCCTCGCAAACGGTGCCCGCAGAGCCGGATGCTAGATGATGTTGACAGCCACGGACGACGGTTTGGTCTTGTCCGTGAGCCTGGCCGCATGAAAATCAGCAGTCAAGCAGAGGCTATGCACGCCCTGCAGCAAAGACCTGCAAGGTGTTTCATCACTTGCCATCACTGCCTTCCTTAAAGAGTGGGAGGGCAACAGCTGGGCCAAACCTGCCAAAGAGACAAAGTCGCTCTTGCAACAGCCGGAAAGATCTACTGCACCCGATCTGCTTAGTTGCACGGTGAAAATACTGCGCCGAATGAAGCTTCCCAGGCAAAAGAAGAACCGATGCCTCAAGCAGAGGAGCGCTCGCCGATGGTCACGCAGGAGCAGGCCTGAGACGGCCGAGTAAAAGTCGGGAGTCGGGGATGATGTCAGGGGTGATGTGGCACAGGAAATTTGAAGCACAGCATGTTAAATGGGTTACGCATGGTTACGAACGCGATCGATGGCTATGTGTGATTTTGCGTTAATGTGAAGACTCTGCCGTTGTCAGGCGAATGCCGTGGATGTTGCAATGCCTCAAGCACAAGCAGACTCACCAGAAGCAATTCCTCCCACAGGGATTTGCTCATCTCCAGAGGCATGTGAACCACAAGAGGCCTGCCAGAGTGCAAAGTTGTGGTACTGCAGTGTGCCGCGGACGCTATCACTACTATCTCACAGGAGGATGTTTTGTTCTCAGCTTTGGACATGAATCATTATGAGGGGGGACGTTTTATTCGCTGAGTTCAGCCGGCTCAGTCTGCCTTGAAGATTCTGGAAGTGTGGGCAGGCTGCAACAGACGCGGCGGACATCCCGCAGGCAAGAACCGACAAGCCCTCAGCGGCTGCGAAGCACAGCTTAAGGTGGCTTGCTTAGATGTGCTTTAGACAGGATACCTGCCCATCCGTGCCTCCGATTCTTCCGGACTGGGAGGCAGCGGGGCTTTCGTAGGGCAGATCTACTTGTAGTACATTCTAGTACCAATCACAGTCTCTGTGATGTAATTGCATCGACAGTGCCCTGTGGAAGGCCGCTGGAGACCTGCTGAATGAAGGCCCAACATGATTGATGAATGGCATTGTTGTGACGTCTTTGGAAGCAACGCGGGGTTCCCTTATGTTCCCTTGGTTTTTTTTTTCTGTTTGCTTGCTGTTCACTGCTTGGCGCCTGCTGGCTTGCGCAAGAAGAGCAGCAAGCCGGGCCATTGCCTCACAACGCCACAACTGAAGCCGCCGAAACAAACGCTAGCCATAGACCATCGGACAAGTTCTCAGCGTGAGATAGGTCGATTTCTGCACTTCGTACATGGCAGCCATGGCAGCAGATGCCCGTGCGCATGGCGGAGCCCTCTGCCAAGCGCCGCTGTCTGGATGCTACAGAGACCGGGCGGCCACTTTGGGAGGTTCCGCCCCGCAGCAAGCAAGCACAGTGGCACTTCGTGCACGATTTGTTACAGACCTCTGTGAAGGCCTGGCGCTGGGGTGGAGTTGGCTGGAGAAGGTATGATGATGCTGACCAAAACGCGTTCCTTGACGGTCCTTCAGCCCTCGCGAGTGTTTTTCATGTGCTCGCTTCCTCCGTCGCGTCGACTGCATCATACTGCAGAGCGTGTCGAGGCTGGAAGAGGCTTACCTGACCGGGCAGGACAAAACTTGTCAAGGAAGAAAAAAGCGGGAAGAATGAAGAATACATGAGCCTTGCAGATGCTGTGGCGGCCTCCTCTTACTCAGGACTCCGCAGAAATTGGGGAGCAGCTTGCCTCAGAAAATGTCTCTATACCTTAACATGAACACACTGCACGTAACGGAAGGGTGCTTGATCTCTTCGCATTTGCCCAGGTCAGGGAGCAAGGCCCCACGGTGGCATCGGAAAAAGACACTGACAAATGCGTAGGATGGTTTGGGACACGTATGGAAAAGTTGGAAGAACAGTATCCACAAGAGATTTCAACAGTGAGTCTTCCTGCTTCGCCAGGTGCTCTGGACACCGTGTGGGCAATATGCCGAGCTCAAGGCTGGCAGCGTTCGCCCAGTGCGCCGTTGCTGGATTTCCACTGAGGCGCGGAGACCACCCTCACAATCTTAGTATGTTTTAGTCCCACTATCTCCCAATGCTTCGCCCTGCTGGGTGACCCCTGAAAAATCCTGCTTAGGGAACATGCATGCGTGCTGTAGGGCGCAGGGCAAGCAGTGCGTTTTAACGAAGGCGGGGCATTCCTCAAGCCACTTTTCGAGTTTGAAGCTGTTTTAAAGAGGGACCCTAGACCAAAAACACCTGAACAGATCACCCGGGCATAAAAGGGAACGGCATGATTCTCCAAGCAGTGTGTCAACACTAAGGGGTTCTTACGTGCACGGCGCGCCGCTGCAGACCGTTTCTTTTTTTGTCGAGGCAGGCTCGCATTTTGGACGAAAATCGCACTCTCGCCAAGGCGTGGGCGCGTGCGTGCGCGCTCGAAACTGTAATCTCATTTGGACGTTTTGGGTGCGTAAAATGCGAAACTGTCGTGCCTTCTCAGCTTGGGGTTTACCTCGCTTTTTGGGGTCTCCGCTGGCGCAAAATCATTGCCTTTCTGCAAGGCAGCCTCGGATGCGATCGCAACATGCGAGATTCGCTGGTTCAATGGCTCGGAGATCTTTCTGAATCGCCTGTCATCTCAAGGCACACAGCGCAGAGACGTTGTTGACTTGACCGAAGATGATGAACCGGGGCACTCAAAACGTGAAGGAGAGCTTTCGCTGGACGAGCTTGTGGCCGGGCAAGGACTTCGGTCCGTTCTGGTGGCCAGCTACGGCATGAACAGGGATGACGTCGTTGCAGTGTTTGGTCAGCCAGAGACACTGACTCTCGTGGACCAGTACGACCATGTTCGTGAGGCGCCGGGTGTGGAACCGCTAGTGGGGGAAGGAGCCTTTGCTGGATGGACACTCGTCCGACCGATGTTCGAGCAAGGTCCAGCATACAAAGGCTGGCTGCTCCTAGGTGTGACAGTTTCTATGTCAAAGGCTTGGCAGCGACATCGATATACACAATGCTTTGTGTGAACATAGTTGCTCGTCGTTTCTTGTGGCTGGAGTAGTCCACCCTTCTAGGTGGCGTCTTGCATCCGAAGCTGCTCTTGCTGGAGTTCTCCGACCGACTCAGAGCTGTCGTGTCATCGGCGAACTTCTCACGCGCGGGCTTCTCAGAGATTTCGCAATGCATCTGGGTCTGCGACTTCCCAGCAAAAGAGCCGACCACGAAGACCACGAAGAGAACGGACTTCGGAGCCTCACTTTGGGACTTTGTGGACCGATTGCTCACGATCAATTCTGGCAGCCAAGGCCGGGCAACCTGATTGGAAGCATGAACCAGGTTGGTAGGACTAGGACCTGTAGCCAATCCACTTCAAACGAGTCAAACTGCCTTCAGTCGATCGGTCGGCAAGGTGCAGATTTGGCACAGAAAGTTCGACGGAAGTGGTTGGGCGTTCTTTCGCAATATAGTTTGACAGTTCCAGAAGGCCAGGATTCAGAAAGCATGCAGTGATGTGGTAATGTGGTGGCTTTAAATTGTTTAGCCGATGTCAAGCTATGCAAAGCGGAAGCTCTGAGGCATCCACCTGGTTGCCAGCGTGCCCGGCCGACACTGGAGTCCTTCCTTTGGCCTCGGCAGGCTGCAACATCTGCTGAGCGAAGCAAGCCGAAAAGGCTGCCAATGGGGGCGTGTATGGTACCAGTTCTCCTCCTGTGGGCAAGCCTGTAGCTCAGAGCACCGTGCACTTTGCACCCTAAAGGCAGATGGACTGCAACATCTAGACCCTAGACATCTTCTACGTTCTGGTGTGCTGCAGGTCCGCACTGGGAGATGGTTTGACCACTTTGCGAAGATTGTCTCCGACCCTGAGTGGCGCCCCCGAGTCACAAGGGCAGGGGATTGAGTTCTCCGGCGTCAATTGGCGGCCCTGTGCCTTTGCCTAAGGTCAGGCCGGCCAGATCTCAGGCGCGCCGCACTTCATGACTTCATTCGGCTGTGTGAACCTTGCGCGGGTACGGGGCGCAGCAGAAGTTTTCTGGTACAGGGTCGCTTGTCTCTGCTCAGGCTAGTCTGGCCAACGGAGAGGCAAGCTCTCCAAAAAGGCATTGCGGGCCGAGGCCGCTCTGCTAGTCGCTATGCTAGTCGCTGCTCTAGCCCGCCCCTGGGATCGACCTCTGCTCTCAATCTCAGTTGTTTCTGCAGTTCCCACCGAATCGGTGCCTCAGCTCTGAACTCCAAAGCCTTGATGGCTCGTTTGCAGGTTACCATCGGATACCTCCGCAACTGACGGTCCTTCGATTCGATTTAATGAACATGGCATCGAAATATTACCGAGCACGTCGGCGTCGTGTAAGCGGATCGAAGACAGAAACATCGTGAGCCATCCACACGGTCCACACGCCATAACTGCAAGCTTGGGACATCTGTCAGGCAACTACTGCCTTGATGATCCGGACAACTTGCCTCGAGGCACTTGGTTTCGGTTTTGCGGCTTGGGCAGAAAGAAGTCAGTGCAGCTCAGGGTGCCTCCACCGCCTGGAGCCATCAGATGGACGTCCGCAACATGTTCTCCTTCACAGCAAGGTGATGGTTGCAGAGGCCTGGGTGAGCGCACCATGCTGGCAACTGCCTTTTCCGATGGAGCGTCGCTGGGGCCCTTCAGGCGGCGTCAGATTCTACAAAGCTTGCCTGGGTCTATGCTGGCTCTCACAACCTGAGCTCGGCTGCATGGGGCATGCAGGTCGATTGGCTTAGTCTACAGTCGCAGACTTCTAGCAGGCTTCGCTTGTGAAACAACGATCGACATCTGTGGATTAGGTGGAAGATGATTTGCGCATCAGTTGCCAGGCTGAACTTGGCCGAGCAAACCACCACGAATTTTTCCGAACCCTTGTTATCTGCAAAGGTGTGTCTGCGCCATCCACTTGCAACAGACTTTTTCAGCAACAAAGAAAGCTTTTCCAGGATCAAACAAGAACATTTTTGCATCAAGACACGAGTTCCTATAGGGAAGGAAGGAGGGAGGGAAGAATGGATGGACGAAAGGGAAGACCCTAACCCCCTTCAAGCGCATCATGCCGTCGAAAGCAAATGCTGCAACTCTGTGAAACGTTCGATTCGAAGACCGTCTCCTGAAGCCGCAAGAGCGTTCGCAACGCACTTCGCAAATGACGTTGGTGACTACACTACGAGCATATTGTTTGGAAACGGTGGTGGCTGCGGCGTCCACCCCCCCCCCCCCCCCCCAAACTCCCCGCCTTTCGGGCAAGCGCGCTTTTGAGAGCATCATGTCGTCGCAAGCAATGCCGCAACTATCTTTCTGCACCCGCTTCCACACCCATCATACGAGCCTTGTTTTGCAAACTGGGAGAGCGAACCCCCCCCCTCCCCTCACCACCAATACCCCTGCCGTTTTTAGGCCGAGTTTAAGAGCATCATGCAGTCAAAAGCAAGGGCTGCATATTTACCATATATTTGCCATTCTTCACCTTCCGCACCCGTGGGCAGGGGGGAGGCAGGGGGCCCGCAGCTCTCCCAATCTCCCCCGGTGCTGCAAATACTTCATGAATCTCTCATGCTAGCGGAGGCAGCTGGGAGCTGGGCATCCTCTTCATCTCACCAAGATGCAATGTACCTTTCAAATGGCCAGCGCCCCCCAGCTACATGAGGCAGCTTGTGTTTTTTCCTGGGCTTTTCGAGTTTAGCTTGGGTTAGCCTGGGCTTCTTTTACATTCAGACTCCCTGGGACTTCACTGTCGTCAATTTGCTTCGACACTGCCTGTTTCTAGTTCTAAGTCCGATAAAAATACCGACCTTTGGACCTTTGGAGATTGAGAGGCGTGCCCGAAAGCCCTTGAACACCCATTTCCGAGGGAGAACTCAGTATTTAGAGAAGAAGCGAGGGAAGCGACTTTCAGCGCAGAGCAAAGTCGGCAAAGTCGCTAGCACAGTGCAGAGACACTGCAAGTCCTTCTGACCGAGGCCAGCATACTCTGACATGGACAGGCCCTGGTCACCAGCAGTTTTCTACAGGCCGGCAGCGACAGGGCACTTGTGAACAAAGGCAGTACGGCTCGAATGGTCGAAGTGGGGAAAATGCCGCAGAACATCAGGTTGCTGGGAGACGCACCCCGAGAAGTGACTGTCTCAACCGTATCAGCAGCACCGTTCGCTGGAGATTGTCTGAAAGATGATGCGTCCCCTAGCATATCAAACTTAGAGACTTACAGTAAGGCCACAACAGCAGAGGGAAGAAGTGCCAGTTTGATCATGTGTGTGCAGAGGACGGTGTTCCACGCCAATGTGGACGAAGCAGAAGTGCAGCGGCAGCATGATGCTGGTACGAAGCTGGCAGCTCTCATGCGAAACGCAGCTTGGACTGGAAGCTGACACTTTTGCCAGACTTTCTCTCGCACTCCAGCTGCACACTGCAAGGCCACAAGTCCAGTTGATCTGAAACTAGTCCGACTAGTCCCCGGCATGTACGGCGAAGAAGATGTTGCTGGTCGGGCGACCTTGCTTCGCTTCTTCTTGGACCTTGACGACACAGCAGCTTGGACAACAGCTGGGGTCGTGTTCCCTTTTTTCTCCGGTACTGATCCAGGGACTTCCTTGAGCTTGTAGACTGGAAGTTCAGAAGCCGCCATGAAAGGCATTCCTAGAAGTGAACTACTTGTGTCCACACTGCGGACCAAATCTGCATGTGAGGTCCTTACCCCTTACATCTACAACACGATTTTGGCAGCTCCAAATGTTGCTACCAAGCTTGCAGACTTGGGTGGCATTTGGGTCGTCGCAACTCTGGTCGCAGTCAGCTGCATATTCGGCATTTCCTGATTGGGCCAATTGGGCTGCCTGTCCGGCATGCTTCATTAAGGACACATCGCAGAAGTCCGGCCATTTGGAGAGTCTCCTTTGGCACTTGAACTTGGAGTACGATGTGCACGTGACAGCACCCTTTCTCCTTGCCCACTGCCGACCTCCCGGAAGTTCTGGTGACTTGGTAGCTCGGCTGAGTTGCAGGCTTCCTCTGTTCCACTCTCGTCAAGCCCCTCATCGAGTTTATCAGCCGAAAGTAACTTCTGCCACCTCCCATGAGGGGTACTTTGCCCTTTCATGCACCCGTGCAGCCCATTCGAAACTTCGAGAGCTGGAGAGTGTTGACATGTGCCGATGGCATGCTCGGAGGCTTGGGCCGTAAAAGATCGGGCTTCCTGGTCAGAGTTCCCGGAGCCTGGAAATGTCTTTGCCTGGCTGGCCGAGTTTGAATCCAGGCAAGCACGGAGAGGGTGAGAGATGTTGCGAGGGCGGCCGCGGTCCTCTGCTTTGCATAGTGCATTTTGCTGCACAGGTCTGCCGCGCTGCTTTCCCACCCAGCCCTGGTGATGGCTCCGGAGCCTTCCAACGTTTCGGAGGCCTGGGAAGGTGCCAAAGCCATGGCTGCCGTAGCTGGATACAGGCGGGGTCTGGGGGGTGTTCATGTCATGGCAATAGAGACACGGTTCCCTGTCGGCACAAAGCCAAAAGCCCAAAAGCACCAGGAAGACACGATATGTTCTGAGTAGGACTAGGTGTTCTGTAGCTCTCAGATAATTACTCTTGGCAAGAGCTCACACGAGGTTGCTGGTCTTTGAGCTGGAAGGCGTCCTCGTCAGACGTGCCGTGGACAACCTTGGATAAATACAATGGCTTTTGACGTTTTGATTTTTGGAGGCGCAGAGAACATTCCAGAAAAGCCTAATAGGTGCCCGGAAACTGCAACTACTCCCGGGCGTGGAAGAGTTCTTCACATCTTTGGCTTCCCTGCTGGACCCGCCACAGGTAGCTTGGATGGCTGCGTTGTTGAGTGTAGGACCATCTGGGACGTTTTGGGACTGGGTCGTACATGAGACTCAAAGGTGATGATGATCATGAGTTGCTCAGCGCAGATCTGCTCGATTGAGGTGGCCATTGCCAGCGACCAAAGCCAGGTTGGCTTGCGAGTCTGGCTGGAAAGCTTTGCCCAAGGCATGTGGGGACATGTGGGCACATGCTCATGATGGCGCATGATGGCACATGTGCTTGGTGAGACCAGGCTGTCGTGACTTGCTTGGTTCCAAATGTCTTGTGATGGATGCATCCTAAAGATTGGGCACGCTGACTGGAACGGTGCCCATGGGCACAGTGGCATCATAGTGACGTAGTGGTACAACTTCTGCGGAATGCAATTAGGCCATGGACGGGGGGGGGGGGGGTGGACTTTTCGCCCACACAAATGCGCCCACACAATGAATGCAATGACTGTGTGGTTAAGCTCTTGGATGTGCGATGGCCACTGCAGGTGATGCTCGCATTGCCTCTAAGCCTACCGAGGCAACTCTCTGACGTTTGCAGAGACACACAGTTTGCCAGTCTCTTCAGCTTTGTCTTGCGACGCTTGCAAATTGAGCTGAAGAGGCAGAAGCACGAAGCCGAGTTCAGGGAGCCATAGCCCTTCTGGAAGAGGCTTTGTTGTAGGGAAGATTTGCTGCGTGTTACAAAGCTGTGGGCGCCGTCTGCCTGGCATTTCTGTTGCGTCGCTGATGTGCGCAAGCCTGTCTTGCTCCCTGGGCAGTTTACACCATAGATCCATAGGATTCTTGATTCTGCCACGGCAGGAAATGCCGACTATTTTGCAGCTCTTGGTCTGCTGGGATTTTCGGAGGGGCGTTTTTCGGAGGTGTTTCTTCCGTTGTCTTACTTTTGTCTCGGGTCGATGCGAGTGTCCATCGTTGTTTCCTTTTTGTTCGGAGGCATGATGAGGCATGTCTCCGTTTGTCTCCCCGTGATTTGCAAAGTTCCGCCAGAGTCGATAGTACATGCTGAATTGGGGTCATTCTTCAGGTCATTCTGGCAGAAGATGCTGGGTTAATCTTGTTTGTTGCGTCACAAGTGCCCTAGGAGGTTTTTTCGAGGCGGGTTTCTAGCTTGGTGTGTGAGGCAGTCCCTAGGCCTAGTCCCCGAACAAAGGGGGTTGGAGGCGGGGGGAAACAGGGGGTCCTTGTAGCAACCTCTAATGCGCAAGGCCCGAGGCCGAGGCGAATGATACTTTTGTGTGCTGACGCCGCACATGCATGCTGCAGGTCGTGCACAAAGCATCTCCCAAAAAGCAAGACGGCGAAGCAGCGGAGGCCGTCATGGTCTCACGCGATGCGTGCTGTGAGCGTTTTGTAGTGAGGACCATGAGAGCTTTGCATTTCAGCATCTACGGCTCGCATGCAATGGCATTTGATGGCATGCCCTATCTGCAAGTAGAGCTCGTGTAATCTTTGTTCGTTTGGTGACAGCTGTTTGTTCCACGGGTTGGTCTTCGACTTGATGCTGCCGTCCCTGATCAGTTCCTGATATGATTCAACACAGGCATAGCCAGGCAGATGTACAAGGTAGCCAGGGCTTTGTAGCTTGAACTGATGCTATGGGCACACGCCATGGCCACCTCGACAAACACCCCCGGCTCTGTGGCAAGTTGAGACCCGTGCCTTCTCCAGGAGGCCGTGGAAAAAAAAGGCCAGCCTCTCTTGCAAGCTTCCTCCTTGCTCTCTGGCATGTGCAAGTGGCAAAGTTCGGAAGCAGAGAAATCTCCTGGACAATGTGGAGGGCGGATGGTTCCGGAAGAAAGATGGCAAGCCTGTCGGTGAGATCGTGGAAGGGCGCTTGATTTGGAGCAGGATTTGGGCCTTTGATTAAGCCGCGAGCCTCTACGCAGACGACGTGGAGACACTGTCACTGTCGCTATATCTCAATTCCATGCATTTCATGAGCCAGGTCTGCCACGGCGATGTGTGGATCAGGAAATGAGCAACGACTTGTCAGGAGCCTCTGCGCATGTCTATGTCGTCGATGCCGCTGGGATTTAATCTCCCTTTTCTGGAGGCCTTGCCTGCGGTCTCCTCCAGGCAAAGCCTGGTCTGCAGTCTGGCTGTAGTCACAGCAAAGTGCTGCTGCACCGCCCATCAGAGAGGTGCATGTACAGAACCCACGATTGATGCATGGACTGCCCACAGAGTTCCACATCCCTAGGGGACGGATGCAGCCAAACTTTGAGAGAGCGGGGCTCAGCTGGCAAGGTGAGCCCAGTGAGCCTTGCGTGCCGGCCTTTGAGGCCTATGTCTGTCATGTCATTGCTTGGCTTGAACTTGGACTTGCAGAATGCAGCCCTCAGACGTTGTTTCTGATTGCAGGTCACTTCTGAGCTTCCGGTACCGTGCGCGTGGTTCGGGTCGCTGGGGACTCGCACCTTCTGGCCGCGATCAGGAGGGCAGCTGGCGAAAGGAGATCCGGCCCAGCGAGATGATGGGCTTGTAAGCCTTGAGCCTTAAGCCGAAAGATTTGGAAAGTTCATAGGAAAAAAATTGAGATGTGGTGACGTGGTAAAGCAATGTTGAGTAGCCAAAGTAGTCTCGAGTGGAGTTGAGAGGAGCAAGAGAGCTCTTTGTAGGACTGGGCGAAGCCGGCGCCAGGCCTCATATGATGAGAAGCTTAGAAAAAGAATCAGACATCAGTGACATCAGTGATAAACGGGAGAGAAAGTTGGGGGGAGGGGGCAACTGAGACAAGCAGAAATCTGTCGGATTTCATCTGCTGCTTGAGGGATCAGTGTAGTACGTACACGCCATCGGGAGGCATGATCAAGCAGGCCATGGCTGATGCCAGCCCTCCGGCTGAGTTGAAGCGATGCATTACAGCTTCCAGCAGAGTTTCTAGCTGTTTCTGGTCTGTGGCTCCAAAAGTCCTGACTTAGGCGTGCCGTGCACGCAGACGGTTGTCATTGGGGCAGAACGTGCAGAAGCTCGGAGCCAGATCTGGTGCAACCCACAATGCCTCCTCACAAACCTCATAACACCGAGATCCAAGGATCAAGAGGCAGCAACAGCAGCTGGTGCAAGCTTTATTTGGGCTTCTGATCTGCTCGGCAGCAAGACGCCCAGCAAAGTTGCCAGACAGGCCGGTGCCACACCAGTGCCAAGAGCTGAATGCACTTTGAGTTTTGTTTTTTCATGCCCGCTGTGAGAGGCGACCAGCAAAGCTGCCAGCAAAACATCAAACCAGCGGCACCAACCTGCAGATGCAGGCAACGTGGGTATCACACTTCGTCTGAGATGTGGGCAAAATCAAGTGATTGTCATGCTGTGGCAGCTGCCATCGCGTGCGTAACGCTATACAGCCATGATGCCTCGGGATGATGAATATTGTCACCACAATGTGATGCATAAAGTGGATGCCTTGGCGTATGCTACGCCAGCACTGGCAGCCGCTGACACGTGGCAGGCCAGCCTGCTCACGCGTGGAGATTTGGAGTCCTTTGGTCGGCACTAATCAGCACCAGAGGACAGCAGATGACGCAGTGCGACAGGCTCATAGAGCTTGAGATTTTGCAACAGAAGGTCCTGCGCCATGGCGAAGGAGGATCCCACGAGAGTCAAGGACCAGTTAGCCCCAGCAGGTACCCATGACAAGGGATTCAGGATCTTGGCCAGGTTTGCCTTGCAAGCACCACCGTTTGATTTTGGTTAGCCGAAGGAGCTATTGACATCGATGAGGATTCTGATTCGGATGCTGCGCAAGAAAGAAGAGTGCCAAGAGTGTCAAGAGTAAGGAGAAGGTCTCAACAGAGCAGGACAAGCGAGCACATACACTCGGAACAGTCCAAGACTTGTGCCTCGATATCATAATCTGGAAAACAACCGGCGTCTTCTTTCGGATGCTCTGCAGTGCAAACACAGTGTAAATGCAGGCCTCGGAGCCTCCGCCCAAGGCTTCTTTGATGAGGCGAGACCATTTGCTCAACGTTGCTCGGAAGCGGTCCTCCCTGTTTCTTTTGCAGGATGACATTTCGGACAGCGTGGTGCTTACTTGCATCAGATTAAATTCCAGTGGTGCCAGCAGTGTTTCCGGAGCGAACGAAAGCGCGAGCAGCCATTCTAGACCGAGCCTAGCAATGACGCCTTGAAGATAGCCGCCAGATAGCCCCCACGGCTGCGGGAAACTTGACCGGTGCTGCCGTAGAATCCGCAGCAGCCATGGTCACTCCGTTCGTGATGAAACATCATCAGCTGGAAAACGTTGGTTGAAGACACCGACATGCTTCTTGGGCACGATGCGGGCATCAACCACTTCACAAGACGGCCGCTTTCATTGCTCGTAGCGTGGCAGCAGAATTGGAGATGGAGAGACTTGGATGCTCGCCTGTGGGCTTGCCATGGCTTTGACCCAGGTCTTGCCTTTTTTGGCGTCTGCTGGCCAGTTGCATGTGATTGGTGCTGGAATGCCTCGCACCGGTGGCTTTGCTGAAGATGGTTTAATTTATTTCAATGGGCTGTTGAAAGCTGCCCCCGGAGCAACAACATGGAATACAGCAAGAATGCAAGATCAAGCAAGAGCAACAGCAGTTGAGCTGCATCACTGCCTGGATGGAGATGTGCATTCGTTTACCTGAAATCCACATGCCCGAGGCACCACTAGCTTGCGTGCGGCCCTGCACCTGCTTGGTTACAAGGCTTTTCACATGCAGGACCCTTTCCGTTCTCGACAAAGAACCATGTGAGTGCTCACGTGGCGTAGGACGACATTGCCTTCATGCATAGCTTAGCATTGCGAGGACATCCTGGCATCCAGCCGGCATTCACAGGCGTGGCTGGACTTTGTCACAGACCGAAGCAGCTTTGACGACTTGATTGCGGCTTGTCCACCACTGTCCAGGGTAACAAGGCAACAGCCACACAGGCAAGCCGCAGTGAGACTAGACTCAGAAGCGAAGTGGGCAAGCCCTGCACCAGTACCCAGGAGCACATTGTCAGACATCACTTCAATGCGACAGTCGACGCTCCCTTCAACCATTTCGTGGACCGGCTCGCGCAACGGTTCCCGTCAGTGACTTGGCAAGGACTCGCGGCAGATGCTCAACAACGCTATCGTGCTCGACAGCTCATGCTCTGCTCATGTCTGAGCTGGACCAAGGCAAAAGTGATCCTGACCATCCGCAACAGTACAGACTGGGCCCAAAGCATGGCCAAGTTCAACTTCTTTATGGAGGCTACGAGACGCCCTCCATTCAATTGGGTTGAACCTTTCCGCTCCCTGGAGCTTCTGGCACAACGACTTCCGAGGAGACGCGTGGGCCATTGTTTTTTCAGGGCTGTCATATATAAAATTAAAATAATATAATATAGTATAATGCACTATAATATAATATAATATAATATAATATATAATGTATAATATATAATATATAATATATAACATATAATATATAATATATAATATATAATATATAATATATAATATATAATATATAATATATAATATACAATATATAATATAATATATATATATATATATATATAGATATATATATATATATAATACATTATATATCATATATAATATATAATATACAATATAATATACTATCATATACTATATTATACTATACTATAGTAAAATATATTAAAAAATTTTTACATATTTTAATATATATATATATATGTGGCGTTGGAGGCAGCATGTGCTTGTAACATGGGCTGTGGACACTGCACAGGAAGATCGAGATGAAGTCGCGGATCTTCCGGAAAATCGGGGAGTTCGAGGATGAGTATCTCGCTCGTGCTTCTGCGAAATCGGCAGTGAATTTAACAGCGCATGACAGCACTAAAGTCAGACTGCATCCCTGAAAACAGATGGTCACAGAGTCGCTGAGGTGTGCAGGCTGACTGGGTGAGGCAAGTTCCGCGGCTGGTTAGGCAGCTACACCATGAGACATCGCCTGACGGCCTCATGCAATGGACTCAGATCATACCAAGGTACAGCAAGTGGTGCCACCAGAAAATCTATTGGTTTTTGATGTGGCGGAGCTGACATTCAGGGGATCGCATGTCAGTTGCGCAAGGACAGCAAGCCCTGAGACATGAGATCATGGGCTTGAAAGCCCGTAATCAGCTCAATGCGAATCAGCCCCCCACCCCTCACTCAGGTGGCCGAGGGATGGGGCCCTCTTTGCAAGTTTCTGGAGCTCCCGCCGCCCCAAAGCGAGTTCCCCAACTTGAATCACGGCACCAAGGCGCGTGCAGTATGCGCTTCAAGGGAACTACCTGCCTTATCCTGCCATATGGTTGATTTCAACAAAGTCTAACGAAGGTTCGACTTCTATAGATTTGCAGTTTGCCACGCTGCCGCTTCTTTTTGCTCTCAGTTGCCAACAAGGGCTTCAGTGTGTTTACGCTTTACCACGGTTGCTGGCTGAGTCACATGATGCAGGTGCACATCTTGGGCTACTTGTTGCACTTCGTTTGCTGGACCTGGCCAGTATATCCCGTGGTTCTGCTTCGCTTTGCTATCAAATGTTTGCGACGGTCGTGCCGATGCAAGGGTCACAAGCAAGCTTGAGATGCTGGGCAAAATGCGGCCTACCTACCTGCAGGCTTGATTGTTGAGTAACTGCCACTTCTGACTACTGGTAGAGTATGGGCAGAGCCGAGGGTCCCATTGCAGAAATACGATGCTGTTTGCACTTCGGTTGCCGCCCGTGTCACTGCCATTTGCCTCGCCCAGCGCCTCTTTGCGTGTGAAGTGTGTGCATGTACCATAGGTGTATTTTGCCACTCGCTTTGTCTGTCTTTATCTGGAAATTGACGTGAGCATCGATGCCATCCGAATCCTCATGTCAGTTCAAAGTCAAAGCAAGCCAAATAAATTCGCCAAATTTCGACCCATGCGACGGACAGTGCTGATTTCTGCGGTGCTCCTTGGGGCATGCATCTCCATCACGCTTGAAGGGTATGGGGCAGCATCTCTACGGGCACTGCAGAGTTTGACTCTCACTGTGCGTCGCAAAGTTGAGATCTCTCAGTCCGCTTCTCCGCAAACCAGCGAACAGCTCCCGCAGCTCTTGCGAAAGCATGCTGGACTGTATCAAGACAAGACAAGGGCACCAGAACTGAAAAATGTGCTCCTCCTGACGGCTGCAAACTACGGATACCTGGACATGCTGCAGAATTGGGAGTGTTTTGCACGAAAGTTTGGTTTGGATTGGTTAGTGGTCGCGCTGGATGACAGGATATACAAGGAGCTTGGTCCCGAGCGTAGCTTTCCAACAGTTGGCGAACGCCACGATTCGTACGAGCGTTTTGGAAGTCCCGGTTTTAAGATTGTGGGGTGCAATAAGCTGCGTTCCATGCTCTACGTGCTTGTGGAGACACAACTGGATGTGGTCTTCTCAGATGGGGATAGCGTGTTCAAAAGCGACCCTTTCTTGCCATCACTTTCGCTTGGGAGCATGATGCGCTCGGGCAAGTATGACATGATATACGGGAGGAAGATCACACCGCCGGGTGTCAAAAAAGACGAGTACCACCAAGAGCCAATCAAGGGGAACACAGGCTTCTACTATGTATCAGGAAGCAGGAAGCCTCGAATCATGCAGCAGATGTTCAACATTAGCATTCAGTGGTGCGACAGGCGTCCTGGCGAAGACGACCAGGAGAATTTCTGGGACGCGCTTGTGGTCGAGCGAAAGAGACGGCCCAGTGACAAGGCTTTTTTTGCTTGTTTTCGGCACTGTGACAGCAGTCAGTGCGCTGGCGTTGAGGAAGGAGCTGTTTTCGACTACTGTGACATGAGTCCCTGGGAGTACCTCGATGGGGCCATCCAACCGACCGATGCTCTGAAGGCGCCGTACCACTTGATCTCCTATCACGCCACTTGGGTATTTGGTAAGGATGCCAAACAGAAGAAGCTGAAGACGGTGGAGCTGTGGGACCCGACGTGTGCTAGCAACGACCTCGGAATGCAGGGCACAGCATCAGGCTCCAAAGCGGCTGCGCTGGCGGATTTGCCAGCGTCACCTGATGCCACTGCAAAAAACCAACAGCTCCCGCAGCTCTTGCGAAAGCATGCTGGACTGTATCAAGACAAGACACGAGCACCAGAACTGAAAAATGTGCTCCTCCTGACGGCTGCAAACTACGGATACCTGGATATGCTGCAGAATTGGGAGTGTTTTGCACGAAAGTTTGGTTTGGATTGGTTAGTGGTCGCGCTGGATGACAGGATATACAAGGAGCTTGGTCCCGAGCGTAGCTTTCCAACAGTTGGCGAACGCCACGATTCGTACGAGCGTTTTGGAAGTCCCGGTTTTAAGATTGTGGGGTGCAATAAGCTGCGTTCCATGCTCTACGTGCTTGTGGAGACACAACTGGATGTGGTCTTCTCAGATGGGGATAGCGTGTTCAAAAGCGACCCTTTCTTGCCATCACTTTCGCTTGGGAGCATGATGCGCTCGGGCAAGTATGACATGATATACGGGAGGAAGATCACACCGCCGGGTGTCAAAAAAGACGAGTACCACCAAGAGCCAATCAAGGGGAACACAGGCTTCTACTATGTATCAGGAAGCAGGAAGCCTCGAATCATGCAGCAGATGTTCAACATTAGCATTCAGTGGTGCGACAGGCGTCCTGGCGAAGACGACCAGGAGAATTTCTGGGACGCGCTTGTGGTCGAGCGAAAGAGACGGCCCAGCGACAAGGCTTTTTTTGCTTGTTTTCGGCACTGTGACAGCAGTCAGTGCGCTGGCGTTGAGGAAGGAGCTGTTTTCGACTACTGTGACATGAGTCCCTGGGAGTACCTCGATGGGGCCATCCAACCGACCGATGCTCTGAAGGCGCCGTACCACTTGATCTCCTATCACGCCACTTGGGTATTTGGTAAGGATGCCAAACAGAAGAAGCTGAAGACGGTGGAGCTGTGGGACCCGACGTGTGCTAGCAACGACCTCGGAATGCAGGGCACAGCATCAGGCTCCAAAGCGGCTGCGCTGGCGGATTTGCCAGCGTCACCTGATGCCACTGCAAAAAACCAACAGCTCCCGCAGCTCTTGCGAAAGCATGCTGGACTGTATCAAGACAAGACACGAGCACCAGAACTGAAAAATGTGCTCCTCCTGACGGCTGCAAACTACGGATACCTGGATATGCTGCAGAATTGGGAGTGTTTTGCACGAAAGTTCGGTTTGGATTGGTTAGTGGTCGCGCTGGATGACAGGATATACAAGGAGCTTGGTCCCGAGCGTAGCTTTCCAACAGTTGGCGAACGCCACGATTCGTACGAGCGTTTTGGAAGTCCCGGTTTCAAGATTGTGGGGTGCAATAAGCTGCGTTCCATGCTCTACGTGCTTGTGGAGACACAACTGGATGTGGTCTTCTCAGATGGGGATAGCGTGTTCAAAAGCGACCCTTTCTTGCCATCACTTTCGCTTGGGAGCATGATGCGCTCGGGCAAGTATGACATGATATACGGGAGGAAGATCACACCGCCGGGTGTCAAAAGAGACGAGTACCACCAAGAGCCAATCAAGGGGAACACAGGCTTCTACTATGTATCAGGAAGCAGGAAGCCTCGAATCATGCAGCAGATGTTCAACATCAGCATTCAGTGGTGCGACAGGCGTCCTGGCGAAGACGACCAGGAGAATTTCTGGGATGCGCTTGTGGTCGAGCGAAAGAGACGGCCCAGTGACAAGGCTTTTTTTGCTTGTTTTCGGCACTGTGACAGCAGTCAGTGCGCTGGCGTTGAGGAAGGAGCTGTTTTCGACTACTGTGACATGAGTCCCTGGGAGTACCTCGATGGGGCCATCCAACCGACCGATGCTCTGAAGGCGCCGTACCACTTGATCTCCTATCACGCCACTTGGGTCTTTGGTAAGGATGCCAAACAGAAGAAGCTAAAGACGGTGGAGCTGTGGGACCCGACGTGTGCTAGCAACGACCTCGGAATGCAGGGCACAGCATCAGGCTCCAAAGCGGCTGCGCTGGCGGATTTGCCAGCGTCACCTGATGCCACTGCAAAAAACCAACAGCTCCCGCAGCTCTTGCGACAGCATGCTGGACTGTATCAAGACAAGACACGAGCACCAGAACTGAAAAATGTGCTCCTCCTGACGGCTGCAAACTACGGATACTTGGATATGCTGCAGAATTGGGAGTGTTTTGCACGAAAGCTCGGCTTGGATTGGCTAGTGGTCGCGCTGGATGACAGGATATACAAGGAGCTTGGTCCCGAACGTAGCTTTCCAACAGTTGGCGAACGCCACGATTCGTACGAGCGTTTTGGAAGTCCCGGTTTCAAGATTGTAGGGTGCAACAAGCTGCGTTCCATGCTCTACGTGCTTGTGGAGACACAACTAGATGTGGTCTTCTCAGATGGGGATAGCGTGTTCAAGAGCGACCCTTTCTTGCCATCACTTTCGCTTGGGAGCATGATGCGCTCAGGCAAGTATGACATGATATATGGGAGGAAGATAAAACCACCGGGTGTGCGAAAAGACGAGTACCACCAAGAGCCAATCAAGGGGAACACAGGCTTCTACTATGTATCAGGAAGCAGGAATCCTCGAATCATGCAGCAGATGTTCAACATCAGCATCCAATGGTGCGACAGGCGTCCTGGCGAAGACGACCAGGAGAATTTCTGGGACGCGCTTGTGGTCGAGCGAAAGAGACGGCCCAGCGACAAGGCTTTTTTTGCTTGTTTTCGGCACTGTGACAGCAGTCAGTGCGCTGGCATAGAGGAGGGAGCTGTTTTCGACTACTGTGACATGAGTCCCTGGGAGTACCTCGATGGGGCCATCCAACCGACCGATGCTCTGAAGGCGCCGTATCAATTGGTGTCCTATCACGCTACGTGGGTTATTGGTAAGGATGCCAAACAGAAGAAGCTGAGGAAGGTGGAGCTGTGGGACCCGACGTGTGCAACTGCATGAAGTTGAATGCAACGGAACTTGCTCGTGCCGTGTCCCACGCAGATGAGCAAGCGCCCAAGTGTCTTTGCCATGGCAGCGCAGTGATCCAGAAACACGTCCGCTTCGTGGTGGCCGAACTGGGCTTTCATAGGCTTGATGCAGCGTGGGAGAGCATGAAAGAGGTGGCCAAGAGATTGCACGACAACTTGAGGTGCACGTACCACGACGCTCTTCGCCGCCTTTCGCCGCGCCTGTTGTAGACGACAGCTGACCGATGCATTCACGGAGCGCTCCGTGATGTAGAAAGCAGAGTGCCCGACGTTCAGGTTTACCCGTTTAACCATTGCTGCAAGACTCAGGCACGCCGTGGCCTATTGCTTGTGACCTGCTAAGAACCACTACCGTACTGTCCCCACCTCGGGCCACGCCAAGGCGAACTCCTCGCTGCCTGCCATGCCGCCGAGGAGCAGCTACGGATTACAGCTGACACGCAGGCATGATGGCCTTGCGCAGTGCCACAGTGCAAACACGCGCAATTCCATGGTTCTGCTATGTCCTGGCCTGAAAGGTCTGCCAGGAAGACAGCAATGAAAGCAGCCAGCCTGCCCCATGCCCTCTGCTTTGCATGCCGTCATGAAGGATGGAAAGTGCAGAGCGTTCAGCTGTGCCACAATCATCCCCAAGGCTGGTCCGCTTTGCCGTTGGACGTGTGATGGCATAGCAAGTGATAGCAGTTGATAGCGAAAAAGAGATAAAAGAGATGTTCACGTTCGCTCGTTGCAGAGACAGTTTTCGGCGCTCGACCCGTGTGGAACACATGGCGTCTCAGGGTTCAAACTGCCTCATGTGCCACAAGCCGAGACCATCTTTGCTTGTGGTGTTGTAGCATCTTGCGGCTGTTGACCGCAGATGTTCACAGTGTCCAGTTTAGCTTTTCGACTGCTGCAGCTGCTTTTGCATCTGTGGGACAAGAGAGACGTAATGCCTGGTACCTGGCATCGGCATGTTCGCTTTTGGCACTTGTAATTGCGTTTGGTGTGGACTTGCTCTATAGGAGTTTTGTCTGAGACCTGCAGATGCATGTCACGCTGCTGCAGAGGGTCGCTCACACGCGCCCTGGGGCTTAAATGTTGCATGGGGAGCGCAACAGCCAACATTCCAGCCAAAAAAATGGTCTGCTAGCCTTTGCTTTCACTGCTTCAGGCTACATCATGTCATGTGGCTTGCCTTGAAGAGAGCATGTGGTTGAGATGACGTATGATGACGTATGCTGCAAAGTGACCTGCCTGCATGGATCTGCACTGATTGCCCTGCGCTGTCTGTGAACTGCAGGGCTCACCCAAGGTTGACCCCCGAGGCCAAACGGCCTTTTAGCCGCGTGTAGGGTGTAGACACTGTAGACGTAGTGTAGACGTAGCGTGGCCTTTCGGGTCCGGCGCCTGGCAGGTTATCTGCAATAGACAGAGTAAGGCATTGAAAGCAAGGTTAGCAAGTGCAGCGAAGAGCAATGCGGATTCGTGTCCCTGCCATTCCTAAGGCCTCGCCATTTTCCACGGGCACAATTTCTCGCTCGGCGCTTGACATGTTTTGACATTGTTTTGACTGGCCCCCCACGCCTTCAGTTTTTCGCCGTCCAAGACCTGACACAGATGTGCCGTGCAGTAATTAAGCTGTTTTTTGTTTATTGGATTTCACAACACCTTGTGCACATCAGGTTCTAGACCGTACTCTCCACAGCCGCGGGATGCCAAGAGACAACCCCTCCATGCATCAGCCATATAAGTTCCCAAAGCAAGCATGATGAGTAGTCTTTTGGGCGCTTGCAGGTCCTTCCCACCTTTGCCCAAAGCCTCACCGACTGGCATAGCCAGTCCGTTGCGCCATGACCTCACAGCAACTCTTTGCGGTTCACGCAGCTGAACGACAGTTTACTGAAGCTGCCTTTCTGACGTCGCAGCTTGAGCTTAAAGAACAGGAGATGCACTTCGAAACATAGCGCCGGATGGAGGCCAAGTGGGGCAGAACCACTTGATGACCTTGATCCTCGCTTGCTGTCCTTCGCGCTGCGCCGTGCCAGTGCGACCGGACAGCCCACTTTCCGAGCGCCGCGCTGCCCTCCGGAACCGGAAGCTCGAAGCACAGCTTGAAGCGCAGGGAGCGCGGGGGCCAAGCCAGAGCAGTGATTCTGTATAGGATCATATAGGTCACATATAGGTCACATATAGGTGAGGCATGGTGAGGCATGGTGAGGCTTGACCTTCCGGTGCAGCGCCGAATTGGAACATGCCATGCTCCGTCGTGAGTCTTCGGACACTGAAGGAAGTCCTTGAAGAGCCGCAGAGCCCCAAATGCCGCAAATGCGCCAGCTCCCCAGACCTCCTCAGCACGCCTTGTCTAAGGAAGTTGCTCGAAGTGGAACTCTGTTAGGAGGAGCTGGAGCAGAAGCATGCAGAGGAGTCGAGCAAGTTCTTCAAAGAGCTCGTGGCTCAGACGTGTGTGCAACAACCCCCTGGAAAGCGTGCTTATACCTGAGAGCTTCAAAAGGACCTGCTGATAGTGCACGTGCGTTGAACTAAAGCAAAAGCCCTGATTGCTCTTTTTAAGGATTGAGCATCTCAGAAGAGCACTGACCAAAATGTGCCGCTCTTGGTGATTGATCACAGGCAGCTTGCTGGTACCGGTGATAGGCAAGCTGGCACATCTTGCGTTCACCAAGGTTGGATGCTGCTGCCATGCATATGCCGGCCGTCTTTCTGCGCTCGTTGAAGGCGACTTCCTCACCATGGTCTACACCTGTTCCATTGAAGTTGGGATTGCCAGGAGCAGCTCCAGTTGGATGTGCGATATCTAACAAAGCCGGAAAAGGGTGAGGGCGGGCTGGGACCTTGGCCGCGTTGATCGGCAGCCGTTACCGTCTTGACTCTTGCGGCATTGGGGGGTGTCGCCAAGGCCTCTGCCCCCCGTGCCAGTGACAGATATTGTCGACCAGACGGAGCTTATCGAGGCCTTGCGCGCTTGAAGCTTGGGTAACTTGCTGTGCCAGGCTAGACACGTACCGTCACAAGTTAAAAATCTCCACGGGCAAAGCAGCTCCAGCGATGCCAGTCTCTGCGAAGACGAATCGCAGAGCTGGAGAAGGAGGCCGAGAGCAACCTCTCCACATCCATACACTCGGTTGGGTAAACTTGCGCCAGCCTGTCACCTGTCAGAATGGCATGCAGACGCGCACCATTCGTGATCTCGAGGAGGAGCTTCGAAAGGCGTGACTTCGGCCCATGGTATACACATGTCAACATCGTGATGCAGAACTTAGGCACAGGAAGCCTTGCGAGCTGCAGGGGGCACGGTCCGGACCCTCTGCCTTGCTGGAGGGTTGGCTTTGCTATGTGCGGCGACTGGTGTCGGTGTGGTGTGGCCTTGCATGGTTTTGCACCACGTCCCGTGGTGAGCTGCTCAAGAGCAGAGGTCACCAGTCCCGTGCGAAAGCGGCAGCTGCCAGCTTCAAAGGAGCATTTCGGCTGCACTTGAGAGCCCATGAGCTCATGGTGTCATGTGAGACATGCAACACCCCTTGCCGCCTATGGACCACTTGTCGGGCACGTCGCGCAGGTGTCAAACTGATCCCTGGGCACCGTTTCCCCAAAAGGGGCAAGAGGTCGTCCAGCCAGGCAGTTTGTGGGAGCATGGTAGAATGAGGACAAAAAAGGGGGCATTGTCAAGAAGCGGCCGTTGATGGGATCAAGCGGGAATATCTTCCAAACTACTGGCGCCTGGTCAGGTGAGGCACGCGTGCAGCAAGTGCAGCAAGTCGATGCAGGCAGCGTGCGCATGCGTGCGCTTAGGTTCATAAAAGTCAGGTTGAGCCAGCCGTGCCTTTACAGGACCCAAGCCGAAAGTACCAAAGAAGAAAGGCTAGGGACCTGGCAGGCAGTACCGTCTTCAATCCTTCAACGTAGGTTCGTCGGATGATTGCAGATCCAGAGTCCCAGGCCCAAAAGCCGAAGCCGAGGGCAGCAGCAGC